GTAGTATAGTGGTCCTCAATTCACAGTGTGAGTATTTCTGCGACTATTTCGTAGCTGTCTCAGGACCGCCGCATATCTATCAGAAGCGTACAGCCTCTTCCGGCACTTCAGGCAGATGGCGAAAGATCGAAGTGCACAGAAAGTTGCCGAACTGCGAGGCACAAAAGGGGCTTGATGACTTCTGGTATGATATGGGTAGTTGTCAAAATTATGGTCCCTTTTGGGGTACCCTAAATAATAGGTGCCGTATTATAATAAGGACCCAAAAAGGGACCCTAATTTTGACAACCACCCATATGGTTCGAGAAGCCAGACCATTTTGTTGTTGCGGGCCTTGGGCTGTAGGAGATTTGATGAGAGGTCTACAAGTGCATAAGTTGGTGACTTCCCAACCCTAAACCCTAAACTAAAAACCCTACGCCCGGTTGTTGTCCTCGCTTCTCCTGTCAAGCAAAGGGCTTCCGCGTGGGTAAGGCTGATGCTCATGATTTCGTCGGCTTTCTCCATCGATCATCCCTCAGGCGCTTAGGTGTAGTGCTGTTCCGATCTGGTCTTTGCCATAAAGTACGACCCGAAACGCGTAAGGTGACCGATGCACCTGCTGGAACGGGAGGTTGCACAAGGTGGAGGTTGCCGGCATCGCCAAACCCCGAAGCATAAAGACAAAGGCCTCATCTTCGCGGAAGCCTTTAGGCTCCTTCACTTTTTCAACTTAGTATAGGGGCCTAAATACATACCAATACTATTTTGGGGGCTCCTTATCAGAACTATAGTAAAATGCCGCAAAACCCTATTCAAATTATTAAGGCCTCCATATTAGGGATTAGGCTGTCCAGGCTGTACCGGTGGCTTCCACACAGAGCTGATGGAGCCCGCCGCAGAGCCCCAGCTGCGCTGGTTCCTAGAAATGGTTCGTGTTTGGGGTTTCTGGGTGTACTGTACATGTCTGAAAGTTGTTCCAGATGGGACGGTCTCCGAAACAAGTTTCAGTAAACAGGATTACTTGTCGATGAGTGATTGTCCTGCTATGCGAACGGTAATGGCCGGTACCTCAATTTAATGGCCTGCATTTAACTCACTACTAAATTTCCCTTATAAGCCTTAAAGCCCGAACCTTAAGCCCTAAACAAAAAGCCCTATCCTCATTGTTAAGACTTCACTTATAAGCCTTAAGCCCAAACCTTAAACCCTAAATAAAAGCCCTATCCTCATTGTTAAGCCCCCTAGATCAATCAGCCTAAATCCTGCAGGAGCCCCTTCGGCTTCATTTGCTTGAAATGGTGCCTCGGTGTTTCAGGTCAAGGGGCTGAGGATTTCGGACTACAGGGCTTAGGATTTCGGATTAGAGGCGGGGTGCCGAGGCTGGCTGAATTTCAAGGGCTTCGGAATTGAGGTATCCGTTTATACAGGTGTCACGAGCTCCAGTGACTTCTGTTTCACAAAGCTCAGGACTTCCACGCTTTCCAGTGGCTTCCGGATTGACGGTGGGGTGGGGGATGCCAGGCGAAGCCTCTCGAGGATCGTGCTCCTCCTGATAAAGAGTTGCCTACTCAAAACTGCTTCCGACCCTGAATTACGGATATCTTACATGCGAAAGATGTAAAGAACAGGAGCCACTCCCCACACACACACACACACACACACACACACACATGGCACTTTCTTGTTCCAGGGTTGCTGCGGGTTGTCTGGTTGTCTTTGCTTCTTCAGGATCGTTCTTCGTGGCTGTGAGGTGCAGTCGGACTAACTTACGGTAAACCCTAAACCATACCTCACCTACTTTTTTTGTAGGGTGCCTACAAAATCCATGACAGGATTTATAGTAAGAACCTACAAAAAAGTAGGGCTTGGTAGTTTAACTTAGGGTTGGGGTCTCATGGACACTGCCCATCCTGTATCTGACCTTCGTCCGCCAGACTCCCGGCCCTGATCCGCCCTGAACCAAAGCAGCAAACCATAGCTTTAAGACCCGAAGCATGAGGTGGGGGTTTCCGAAAATAAGGGGTGCCTTTATTTGGGGTCCTTATGATAAGGATCCTACTATTTAGGGTGCTGTATTAGGGTCCCCTATTTTCGGAAATCCCCCAGGTGAAGACTGGAGCCCTACGAAGTCCGGAGATTACGGTGCCCGGAGAAAGGGGGAGGGTGGAACTCTGTGGATTGGGGGTTTCTGAGACTTTATTCGATCCTACTGTACGGGGTTGTCCGGCACTTAGGGGCCTTGTTTCCAAGTATTTATTTGCGCATTTGATAAGATCACCTGGTTGATCGAGCTTCGTGTTTCCTTTGGCTTTCGGACCTGCAGCGGGAAGTGGTTCAGCGATCTTTTTGCAGTACAGGAGTTCGACATTGAACGAATTGCTAACACATACCCTTCTAGCCCCTACATATGCTTAGCAGTATGATACGCCACAAATTTTCAACGCGTCATAACGCTTATTCAGGCCCCCTATTCTTGGACTCCTGGATGTTGGGATGTCTCTTCTTCTCGGAGTTCTTCACCATGACTGGTGGATACGGTTGATGATATAAACCCTGCATTACCCAGAATCAGGAATATACCACAATTCCCATAGTTTAGGGTCCTTATAAGGTAATGCAGGATTTATATCATCAGCCGTAGTAGTTTAGCCTAAACCCTAAACCCTCACCAACCCCCAATCTCACAGCTCCCAAGCCCGAAGACCCCGACCCTTCCAGCCCATTCCGAGGCAAAGGCATCGAAGCGCTGTTTGGGAAGGGCCCCAAACCCCACACCGCAAACCCCTACATCCCTATATCCTCCTATACCCAATTTTAAAACACCCCGAAACCGAAACCATAAATCCGTAAACCCCAAACCCCTGAACTTTTCTACACTTTAAATGGTTGGGAGGTCTACTCCTCTCAGACTGGAGAGCGGTGGCTACCGGGAACGCCTGTGGCGTCCATCGTCGACGGCTTAGTGCAGGGCCTGACCTCCCCAAACCAGTGGGCAACTTGGGCTGCATTTAGGGTCTAGGGGGTTTAGGGTTCAGGGTTCAGGGTTTAGGGTTTAGGGTTTGGGGTTTAGGGTTCGGGGTTACCCTTCGGCTTGGGTTTCGTGCCTAGAAAGGGGTTTGGGATGCTTTTATGCCCGGCAGCTAGAGGATTTGTATAGGTTATACAGTCGCGGTCAGGTTGGCCGGGTTTTTATAAGGGCTCCACTATGTAGAGGTAGAGCTTAAGGTGACAACCGTCTGTTTCTGTGGGCCAAGGCCACAATGGTCCAAACATGCTCCGACTGCAACTTTACTACAGGTAGCGTCGTCTCTAAACCCTAAACCCTAAACCCTGATACCCCTCCTGAGGCGTCAGCCTATGTCAGCCTTCAGCATGGTCCCAGTTTCAGGCGTTGGGTCTCGCGATCAGGTTTGGACATCCTAAACTAAACCCAGAACCCTACATGAAGCCCGTGAAACCTGAGCCGTATCGTCTAGGAGTCTAGCATGTAGGATCTGTCTTGTGAGTTGGCCTGGGATGGCACCGAGGAAGACACCTGTCGTGCCATCATCGATGACGGTGTCGAGTTCTTCTGGGAGATCGGGCCAATGAAGCAGCTGAAGGCTAAACCCGAAACCGTAAGCCCCATTTGGGGCTTAGGGGGTGCAGGCTTGAGGCCGCTTTTTGCAAGAAGCACTACTCGTATTCCTGTCATAGGGCTTTTGAAAGCACAATCATGTTTCTACTCTATGTTGCTAGTCCTTAGAGCTTTGCATCTCCAAAGACCTCAGTTTAGAGGTTCGGAACCGTCGGAACCTCTCTGGTTTAGCAAGCTTTCAGCCCAGAGGATTGCATGCATAGCCTTATGACGACGTGCGATGAAGGTCGCGTGGAAGCAGCCGCATGCAGAGTTCATCCTTTTGTTGCTTTCCTGCCTCTCCACCGAGTGTAGAGAGCGATGGCTCCCTCGCGCAACTTAGCCGTTGACTCCGCAGCTCCGTTGCAAGTGCAGCTGTTGAAATCGTGACAGAACCCAAGCGTGGATTAAGGCTTGCCGGCTCACCGTTGCGGCTGTGAGTTCGTGCTAAGGGTATTCATGACAGCAACTGCAACGCCAGTCAACGTCAGGCGATGATGCGGCACATTGACTACAATCAGTGGAAGAGTATGAAATGCGTCGACTGCTGAGCGAGCAGCGCATGCGAGTTTTGAGAAGAGTCACAGATAGCTGGGCGGAGCTTGCCGGGCGGCTAGATCATGGGTCGAAACAGAAGGCACATGGATAGAAAGGCATGCAAAGCCAGAACTTAGATCTTCGAACCTAATCTCCAGTTCCACTATCGTCCAACCTGTCGAAACTGTTTAAGCTGCGGCACACTTCGGGGCAAGGCTCCCTTTACCTCGAGCAGCTGACAGAGTTGCAATCCTGAACCCCTGAACCACCAATCCGCCAACATGGTTTAGGGTTGTTTAGGGTTTTAGGGTTTATAGGGTTTAGGGTTTATAGGGTTTATAGGGTTTAGGGTTTGGGGTTTGGGGTTTAGTGCCGGTACAAAAGGGACCTTCTGACCAGACTGCTGGAAGCAAAAAAAGCGCGAAACCGTCGAAACCCCTCGAGCCTCCTAAACCTGAAGCCCTAAACGCCTAAACACCTAAACTCTTTGAGATTAATATAGGGGCCTAAATAATTACCAATCCTATTTTGGGGGTTCCTATTATAACTGCAGTCTACTGGGCCCCAAAATATTCGAATTATTAAGGCCCCTATGGTAGTTGCGAGTAGCGATGTCACTGAAGGCCCTCGTGCTAAGCAGCAAGGAGTGGACTAGATTTCCACCCCATCCCCAGGTATCGATTTGGGAAAATATTGAATTTCTGTGGTTGTTTATTGTACATATATATATATATATAGAGAGAGAGAGAGAGAGCCCCAATTATCGAAAATATGTGGGGACTGTTGAAATCGACACCTAGATCCTGGACTCCAAATTCATTGACCCAAAGCTCTAACACCCAGCGCAGCGACCTCAGCGTTCCAGGACGTCCATGTGTGGCGCATCACCGTAAGAGACTACGAGCCAGCACTCCGGGAGGTTAGGGCGGCTGCCCCTAAGGATTTCCTTCGCATGGGCTAGATTGAAATCGGGGTAGTTGTTCAAGGTTGCGGGCTCGGTGCTTGTTGGATCTTGTTGGTTCTGAGGGCTTCAGGATTTTGGGTGTTCGCCCTACGGGCGTGAAGAGGGTTTCAGGCGTGGTATCTTTGGCTCTTTAGGGGATGACCATGTCATTGAGCCGTGCGGTAAGTCGCAGAGGACGTACAGGTCACCTAGATGTAACGTATCTAACAATGTAACTGGGTTCGGGCGTGATGGCCAGCGAGGTCTTTTCTGGCTTCGACTAGTTGAAAGCTCAGGGGCAATGGCTCTCCAGGTGTGGAAGAAAAGCCATTTGTGAGAAGAACAACCAGGCTGGTAGGACCCTAAACCCTGAACCCAAAACCCTAATGTAGGGGCCTCAATAATTACCAATATCATTTTGGGTGTTCCTTATTATAGTCTAATCATAGTTATAGTACAGCAGGCCCCAAAACCCTATTCAAATGATTAAGGCCCTTTATATGAATCCGTGCGCGGATGGCTGCAACCCTGACGGCTCGCAGATCGCTGTGTTCAAGAAGACCTTGACCATGAGATCCAAAAGTTGCCATGAAGAACGTTAGAACTCGGTAGTCGGACAGGCAACCTTGAAGCTAATCCCTATACACTCACAAAGGCTAACCTCTAGTTCTCCCAGGATACTGGGCGTAAGAGCTGGGAGCATGCAGGCTAAATCGCTGACTCCGGCAGTGTATGAGGAGGCCGGTATGCCGTCTGCTACAAGGCAGTCTCTCCAGCATCACCTGAAGCAGAAGCGAGACCAGCGTGCCCTGAACCCTAACTCTTCCCCTTAACCCTCAACCCTAAATGTCAGACTTGTCACATGACTGCATGCCATTCATTGTCCCCCTAGCCCCAAATCGTTGAAGTCTACATACTACCTTATGCATACATCTCAGCCCAAAATCCACATCAAACTCTCCAGCAACCACCCAACGCACCGCCCACACTTAAGAATGCCAGCCATCTGCCAGCTCAACACAATGCAGCACCAAAAGGCATGGTCGTCCAATACCTAAACATTCCCTAACCCCCCAGGTACCTACTATATAGGGTACTAGAGCCCCTAGGGCCCTATATAGTAGGTACCTGGGGGGTTAGGGATTCTTCAGTCATACCTAACAAGCTCACACTCACATCAATGCCTTGCCCCCACCTCCTAACCCAAGACCAACTCAAAACATTGTTACCTTCAGCTGCCCCGTCTTTCTGTGACGATGCCGATGCCGTCAACGTTCAGGGTTTAGGGTTTGCCGTGAAATAGTGCGTTGGCGAAAATATTTGGCAATAGCGCGGCTGCGGGTGTACCGCAGCATGGCGATTAGCTGCTCTAGCCATATACAAGTGCATATTCATATTTTTGATATTCATGTACGTATATACGTTCACGTAAAGTTACAGATATGCACAGATGCATGCATGTGCAAATGCGTGCTTCAGAATCTCCTCTTGAAACTGTCGGTCCGCTTGGAGTGAGATGGGAGGTGGGCGATGCGTTTCGACGCCGGTTCGGCTGCTTTGATGCAAAAGTTCCTGCATGAAAGTACACTGGGGGGGGGGGTTGTCCGAGTTGGTTGTGAAAGCGCAGCATCTGCCCCCACTCAAACCGTTAGTAGATGTGTGTTCGTTTTCGCTTCAGAGTAAGCCGCCTTAGTGGATTTAGCGTTGCTGTCTTGAGACTCAGGTCGCCGGTTGGTTTGGGTGAATGTACAGCCCGGACGGCTATGGGACAAGGATTCGGGGCGTGGCATGCTTCGGAGAACTGCAGTGGGCAACAGAACTTTGCTAGTGAGTATAGTTCTGAGGACTTCATGGTACTCTGTCCGATGCCTTTGCGCTATGCCCGGACACGCACATGCCAATATCCCGTATTTGACAGTCCCCCGCAAAGGATGTCCGCTAAAGATTTAAGGTATTTTGGTTCGTAATACAAAGCCTAAACCCTAGACCTCAAAACCCTAAACCCTTATAAACCCCCAAACCCTACTCGATAAAGTGTCTCCTGCCTAGCCGCCCTTCAGGGACCCCTATTCGAATCATTAAAGCCCCCCTATATCCCCTTGTCTATTCATTACGGCCCCTATATCAGAGAGCTCTTGCAGAACCCTTATGTTTATAGCAGCCTTTATAGAGCCCAGGTGCCGCGTTTGCTGGCTGGGCACACTCGGCTGCTCTGCTCCAGTCAGCAGCCTCATCCCACGAGATAGCCTAGAGCTCTACAGGCAGAGGAGACCCCCAAACCCGAAGGCTTGAACAGCAGCCCGAAGCCCTAAACAGTTACCCTAAGCCCTGAACCCTACACCGTCACAGGAGCCCCCATCTATTAAGCATTTCATGCTTCTACATCTTTCACGGCTTTGTTTGGGGTTCAGGATGCATCTCTCGAACTCTCGAACTCTGGGATGGTGACGTCATGTCGGAGACTTATCGGAGCTAGTCCCGTGCATTCAGTTCCCGCAGACGCTGTGGCTGTGGACAGCTGCAGTTACTGGTTAAAACTCCGAGCAGTTTAACTGGGTCCTTGTTGGCTACAATTTTACATTTTTGTTACAATAAAACCCAATAAGGATTAAGAATGATCATTTTTAATATATCCCCGACAGGGAACCGGTTAATGCTAGGCAGAGTCTCCTCCAGCCGATGGAAGAGGATAGGTCCTGCACGTATCGCCTGAAGCCTTGCCAGAAAGAGCAGCGGCAGCATCGTAAACATTAAAACTACGCAAGACCCTATACTGTAGAGCCCTATTACAACTCCACGTAGTCCGATCTTATCTTACCAGCCTCACAAGAGTCTAAGCCCAAATTAAGCCCCGATAATGCTCTTGAAAAGTAAGGAACAGGGAGGAGAGAGAGAGAGAGAGAGACAGAGAGAGAGAGAGAGAGCGAGAGAGGGAGGGAGGGAGGGAGAGAGAGGGAGAGAGGTTCTCTTTGGTGCCGAGCTTGCCGCGGAGCAGCTGCCAGCGGACCTGCGAGAGGCGTAGCACTTGCGATCATTCGCGGGTTTGGTGCTAATGGATTATCGGGTGCTGGCCTTAAACTCTAAACCAAAAACTTCCGTGATTATTATATGTCGAGTTTAGTTTCAGCCACGCGCTGAGTGCCATGCTCCCCTGGCCCTCCTCGCAGGCCTTATCTGGAAGCCCACGGCCCGTGAACCTCTTAGACCTCTAAGGCCCTACTGCCCCTAAACCCTAAAGCCATAAACCCAAAGTTCACAGATTAACCTGAGTGGCTGAGTGGGTACACTACCCGTTTTGGAGTAGTTGTATCCCCGATAAAGCCGAAACTTTACATTTTTCGGGGCCTATGACATCATATACCCAGAGAGCCCAATACCCCTTAATTACGGAATATACCTCAAAACAGCATATTAAGGCCCCTATATCTTAAGGTATGTTCCTTAATTATGGGGTATTGGGCTCTCTGGGTAAGTAGTGATGTCCAACCCCTTTTGTCAGGAGATGGAGAGATTTCGCGCTTGGGAGAAGCAGCAGAAGCAAGAGAAGCCCCTTGGGATTGAAGACCCCCGAGAGCCCAATACCCCTTAATTAAGGAATATATACCTTACATCATAATATTAAGGCCCCTATAACTTAAGGTATGTTCCTTAAGTAAGGGGTATTGGGCTCTCTGGGACCGGGGCTTTCGTGAGGCGAGTGGGCTGAAGGGTTCAGGCTTTTTAGGGTGGTGAGAATTAATAAGAGTGCAATACGAGTTACTTTTCAAGGGTACTATACGGGCTTGGGGTTGAGGCTTTAGGGTTCATTGGTTTGCTTTAGGGGTGTAGGGTTCAGGGTGTGGGATCTCCGTGATCTGAGGGTCTCTGGTCTTCGGGTTAAGGTTTCCAGGGCCGTTTCATTTTTGAAGTTGCGTTCTTCCCCTGAACCAGGGTCAATAGGCTCGGCATTACAAGCGGAATCGCTGAAAGAATAGGCCAGGTGAAGCCCTCAACAAGCTTTCGGTTTGCGGTGAGATGCGCTGAGCATTAAGCCTCCGAAATCCCCTCGACACGAGATTTGCAGTCGTGAAAGCCCAGGAAAGCCGCAAAGAAGCCTGCGATGCAGGCATCGAAGGCTGCAGCATCTCAAAAGAAGGCCCGCCAATGTGACTTCATGCCAATGTTTCAGATCTGGGCTCTTGGCTACAGACCTAGCAATCCTCATGTTCATACGGCCTGCTGAAGAGGCAGTGATTGTTCGTAAGATAGCCGCCACTATCTAGAGCCACTATATGATGTTAGTGATTGCATGTATACTTATATGTTTTTCATATTCGTATGTATGTGTAAGTATTGTTGTTCATATTGATATTTTGCCTTGCTATATTTTGTTATATAATATCATATTGTAATGTATTGTATTGCAGTGTACTGTCTTGCATTACATTGTATTGCAACTGTGTTGTAATCTATTGTATTATCGTAGGGTACAGTATAGTTAGCATCGTTTAGTTTAGCACAGTATTTTGAATCCTAGTTTAGCATGTTATACTAGATTACATGATACAATAGTATAAGAATATATGGTGTCATTTTGTATAGTGTTATATCACAAGATAATGGTTCATGTTTCATTATAATATCATATTATATTGCATTGTACTATATCATTTATATTGCGCTATGTTGTGCTTTGTTGTGTTGTATTACACTGTGCTGGATTATTGTCGTAACCATAGTGTATTATTTTCGGTAGTATTATGTTTTAGTAGATTTCATTCTGTAGCATACTATGTTTTATTTAGTTTACTATACTTTTTTCATGTATTATGCCATATTCTATCATACTGTAATCTATTGTATTGTGCTATATCATGTTTTCCTGTTATGTCCTATGATATCATTTTATACTAACTCATATCATATCGTGTTTTACACTATACTACACCCTTTCTGTTCGTATATAGAGACAAGCGCTGTCCTGTATTATTCAGCTCCTGCTCAAGATTCCACGCACAGGAGCTTGTGTTGTTACATTCCGTTTTGAGGCTTTGAAGCTTCGTCACGATTAGGGTTTAGGGCCTGTACGGTGTAGGGATTGGGGTCTCCATGCGCTTGTGGTCTGTGTTCTTGAGACTCAAAATGTAGTCTCAGGTCTAGATAGACTTGTCAAAATCAACCTTGTGCACTGACCCTGAACCCTAAACCCTAAACCCCACACCGATCCCTAAACCCCAAGAAAGACCTAACTAACACTGAACCCTAAACCCTGAACCCCACACCGATCCCTAAACACTAAGAAAGACCTAAAGCCTGAACTCTAAATCCGTTCAATCTCTGGTGCATCAGGTGGCCGCAGCCAGGAAGAAGCCGTCCAGCACTGCCAGCAGCCGGAGCAAAACAAGAATGTTGCTTTGGTTGCTGCGTCTAGGTCCAAGCATATGGTATGATATAGTAGAACATAATGTGTGTGTATATATATATATATATAGTCATATAGATAGTATTATATAGCAGAACATACCAGAATAGAACAGCTGGGAGTCCACAGCTTCGAGAGGCGCTGACGTCTACGCTTCCGAAACTAAGGGTTTGCCCCAATTCACCTTGCAGGACACCTCTGACTCTCCGATTAGACATGGCTCCCAGAGAGGATGTTTTACCACCCGCAGCTCCTCCAGATTTTGGGCTTGCACCTTAGCTTGGATCGGGTGGGCGATTTCTAGAAACCTCGGCGGATGAAGCAATGCTGAGACTATCTTCGCCAAGGCCGCTAAGCCCAAAGCCCTAAACCCTAAACCCCAAAGGAGTCGCACAAGATTCATTGAGATGGACTTGCTCCATGGATCGACCGTAGGTCAGATGCAGAAATCAACCTGCAGCAGCATAATATAGGGGCCTTAATAATTACCTATACTATTTTGGAGGGGGTTCCTTATTGTAGGTACAGTATAAAATACCCCAACAACACGATTCTATGTACTAAGGCCGCTATATTTCATAGCCTTTGGAGTCCCAGGCTTGAAGCGAGTTGAGGTGCCTTGAGCATAGTCGAGGATACCAGGTTCTGCTCCACGAGCTGCCTTGCAGCCAAAGGTTTAGGGTTTAGGGGTTTAGGGTTTAGGGTTAGGGTTAGGGTTTGGGTTTGGGGTTTGGAGTTTAGGGTTTGGGGTTTGGACTTTAGGGTTTAGGGGTTTACGGTTTAGGCTTTAGGGTTTGGGGTTTAGGGTTTAGGGTTTGGGGCAGCTCTAAATGTTAACATGGGAAGTTCCGGAACATCACAACCTCTTGTGATCTGTGTATCATGTCGTCGCCAAAGCACGGAGTATAGAGCACTCCCATACCTTCCTAAACATCTCCGGCTCGAGACCACGCATAGCTTCCAGAAGCCCTCAAACTCCAAACCCTCAAGCCCTAAACCCTAAACCCTAAACCCCTAAACCCTAGACAAACTTCGCATCCGACTGTGCTCCGCCTCATTTTGGCTGGCAGCACAGGGGGGGGAGCCCAGGGCGCTGGGGGCTGGCAAAGAATGACAGTCTCGTCTGGGCCTTGGGGGCTGGAAAGCAGAGCAAGAAATCATCAGTCATTGTAGATGTGACGACCTGCTAGAAAGGCCATTTCTGTCTAAGTAGACAGGCAGTTTGCAAGAGAGTGTTGGGCAGGCAAGTACAAGTTGTCAGACTCGACATTGACTATCCCTGAAGCATCCTGAAGCCGTCCAGCCGGTGAAGTCCATCAGCGTACTTGATCTCAAGCAAAAGCCCTAAGCCCTTAGCCTACGCTGCAATATTGAAATTTCCCCAAGGTGCTCCCCAGGATGCCTCCTAAATATTTATACTGTGCATGGTACACCCCTTCAGCTCGATTTCAAGCTTTAAGGCCCCTCTGTCACCTCCTGACGTCTCCGAAGGCGCCATTGGAAGCCCGCCTCGGGGGATCAGAGGAACTTCACCGCGCAGGCGTCTGCCGCCGATCGTTGTGACTTGTGATCTCTTACGTCTAGGGCGACCGTCATGAAAATGAGATGACGGCGATGGTTCATGAAGATAAAGAAGATGGTGATGATGACGGTGACGACGATGATGAAGGAGCTGACTGGTACCGTTCCAGTTCTAGCGCAGTGGTGCTGGTGCTTTGCCGCTGCTTCGCCACGATGCTGACAACCCTAAACCCTCAACCCTGAACCCAAGTGAAGATTCAGAGTCTGAATTCAGAGGCTTTGATGACGATAATGAGGTGGAGAAGCATTCACAATGGCCAGGTAGTTCCCAGCACTATACTATAACACTTAATACTATACCATATATATACGATGCTATACTACATTATACTATACCATACTATACTATATTATACTATGATATCTTCTATACTACATCGCATAGTCGTATAGCATATCATATAGGCTGGGACTCATATCTGCCATGTTCCACAGAAGCCCCCGAGCCGACCCGACTTTTGAAATCGGAACAGCCCCAAAGCCCCGGTTGCATTGGATCCTTAAGGCCTTATTTCGCGGTCTTAATGAATACCAATACTATATATATATATATATATTTATTTTTATTTTT